GCGCGAAGCTGGGGCCCAGGCGCCGGCAGGGCTCCCGGCATGCTCCATGCAGCAGGCACGGCTGCCAACGATCACTTTTGTGACTATGCAACTGGAGCCAGATTACTAGCTGCAAATCACAAAAATGACGCCGGCAGCTGCGAGAGAGAGAGAGACAGAGACAGACAGACAGAGAGAGAGCGTGAGCAGGGCAGAGAGGAGGGCAACGTGCTCAGAGACTCCCCCCCCCACTACCCTAAGCTGGGTCCCTGGCCCCACACAGCCTACAAACAGTGGCCAGCCTGCCCCTGCCAAGAGCCCACCATCACCCAAAGACCCCACGACTTGAGGAGGCACTGTCTGCAAACCTCCGGGGAGCAGTCCCAGCCCCACAGCTCTCTCCCTGGGTTAGGTGGGGATCCACCACTGGCTGTAGGGCATGGGGAACAATAGATCACAGCTGTTCAAGCCTGGATTTGGGGGTTTCCTCTTGCATCCATGGCTGGGGAGGGTGCCAGGCAGTGCTGTCCTCCATGCTAGCTCCAGGGAAGAGCATTTTCCCACCCTCTCCGTGGAGGCTGGAGACCTCTGGCAACCTTTGGAGGCTTCTAGCCCACCCAAGCTCTCTTGAGCCTCATCCCAAGCTGTTCAGAACCTGGTTCTTCTGCTCCCCCCGCTCTGCACGTGGTCCACACCACAGCCCTGACCCTCATCACACTGGCAGCAATGGCGTCACCCCTCAGTCGCCTGCATTTGGAACAACCACCGACTCCCTGAGGGCTGGCATGGTGCTGGGTCGGCACTCACCTGCGGAAGTCGAGGAGGGGTCGGGTGGTGGTGGGGATGCCCTCGGCTGGCCAACTGAGAAAGTGGAACTGCGTCAGGGTACGAGTCTCCTGCGACTGCACATTCTTCAGGTAAAAGCTGCGCACCAGGAAATCCTCACACCAGATGTGCTCTGACACCAGGTTCACCTGCCCAAGAGAGGCAGTTGGTAGATGTCAGTGCCAGGCAAGGGGACTGCACTCAGAGGGACAGGGGCTGGAGGATGCTTCTTGCCCCAGGCTACCCGCCACTCTTGCCTCATAGATGTGGTAGAGAGAGGAGCCTTCATCTGGCCAGTAGCGGTCACACTGCTTGACACTGTCCTCAGCCAGAGGGCTCAGCATGACAATGACGGTACAGCCATGTTCCCACACCATCTGCAGGCAAGACAAGGGAGTTGTCATCACTGGGAGACAGTCCAGCCAGGAGAGCAATCAAGCTGCTGTGACCCATTGGTGGGCAGCACACAGAGAGATCCCAAGAGGCTGGCACAGCTGGGTGACCCTCACCTGCCAGAAGTCAGCGATAGTGTGGGACAGTGGCCCCTGCGTGGCAATATACGCTGGCATCCGTGGGTCATGATCAATCTGGAGCAGGAAAGGAGGTGTTAGCCTACACACTCTTTGGCCAGGGGTTGATGACACTAGAAGGAGTGGGGAGGATACTCCAGGTGCCACAGGAAGGAGGGAAATGGGATTTAACCATGTCTGAGCAATGGGGCGGGCACATGGCTCATATCCATAGCCCTCAGGGTGTGAGCTCAGTCAAGCTACATCCCAGAGGAAGAGCCTCGCCTGGGCTGGGCACATCATGGAGTGGGATAGCAGGCCAGGACCTCCTGATGAGGACTCACGATTGGACTCGCATTGATGAAGTCGCTGCGGGATGGGTTGCTCTCGGCTTTCAGCTTGATCCGCACATGGTCATCTGGGGAAACAGAGACCAGGAGAGATGGTGAGTGCCTGGGGGAGCTGGGGCAAACTAACGCTGCAAACAGTTGTGGCCCCAAGCCCCCCCATGACCCACACCCCACTCCAGCCACAGATGAGGCAAGGCAGGTGGGATGCTCACAGGGCACATAGTCGGGGTTGCGGTTCTTCTTCAGGTTGGCATCACCCTGGGCAATGGAGCAGATGCTGGGCTCAGCCTGGTATGCACAGAGTGCCTGCCACTCCTTGGCCAGCGGAGGTGGTCCTCCATATAGGCCTAGAGCAGAGGGGCAAGGGTCAGCCCAGCAGCAGGGGGGCACACGGTGGGACTGGGGAGGGGGATGGCATGCTGCCAGGCTGGCTCACCAGGATCATGTGTCCAGTGGAGATGTCCATATTGGACTGGACAGGCTCCTCGCACCAGGAGGGTGTGCTGCTGTGGGAGCTGGGGCTGGGCTGTGGGGCGTCGCTGAACTGGGACGAGACGCTGCTGACCCGTGAGGTCTCCGCTGGTGCTGCTGGTGCGTCGGCACGGCCAAAGAGAGACTTGGCAGCCATGTGCTGGCGGCACAGCTCCTGGGGGGCCCCAGAAAGAGCCCTGTCTCTTGACCACAGCACTGCACAGGGCAGCCCCATGCACCTCGAGCAATGCTGACACGGCAGTGATGCATTCTGCAGGGTCCTGCATCCCCCAGAGTCCTACCTGGTACTCAAAGGTGGTGTCGGCAGCACCCTCAGGCCCCAGGGCAGCCAGGCGCTCCTTCTCACGCTGCTTGGCATGGCGTCGGAGGCAGAAGGCCGCGGCAACAGCAATGGCAATGCCTGCCACACAGGCCAGTGCGATGAAGGTCAGCAGCACCGAGTGGAAGCTGTCCCCGAAGCGGGATGGGTGTGAGTAGGCAGCAGCTTCGTTTCGCTGGGGGCAGAGCCAAGCAATGGTCAGCAGGGGACACCTGTATGAGGCTGGGGGTGCAGAGACCCTATTCTGGTCCACATTTGGGTTTGCTGGAGGCTAAAATAGAGCAAGGGCTCTTCCTTCCTCTTTCCGAGGATACTGGTACTCCCAACACCCTCAGCTGGGGCAGAGCTGGTGCCACTGGGGTGCTCTGTCACTGGCATGAAGTGGAGTGCACCCATCTGTGTGTCACATGGGACATTGCTCACAGTGGTGCGCCTGGCCAAGCCCAGGTAGCACTGACTTCCTGCTTCCCTGATCCCAGTACCTGGGGTGCCTTCCTCCAGGGCAGGCAGTAGCCCCATGCAGCTTCAGCCCCATGAACTCCTTCTGCCCAGCTGCAGTTTAACAAGGGCCAAATTCAGCCCAAGGTGTTAATGGTAAAGTGTGGGTCACCACAGCACTGAGTGTGCTGTGCCCAGGGGGAATTCCCCAAATAGCTCTCCCTTGCAGCCACTGCTCCACAGCAGGCCGTAGGTGGGGGAGAGATGTGCCAGCACTGCCAGAGTGCTAGTGTCACCCTAGCTGTAGTGGCTGGGGCACAGGTCCTCCCCATTGCCCTTCTCAGCTAGTACAGAGAGCAGCCCCTGCCACTTTGCAGGCACTGTCTGAAGGGTTCCTTCCTTGCCAGTCCAATGCCAGAACAGGATGGTGCTCAGTCCTTGCTGGACAAGACCTTCCTGCCAATGCCAAGACTGCCCAGGTCCTTGTTCCAGAGCCTCTGGTAATCTGGATGCTCCTGGGCCATCACAGGGATGCTGGGGAATCACCACTCCAAATACCCTGTACCCAATGAGGTGCCAGAGCCCAGCATTACCTCATTGCCACAGCCTTCCATTGGCTATGAGCCCGATGAGGTTACCGAGGGAACACTGCATCATCATCACCTACGTCATCATCATCATCGCCTGGGGATGTCCTCAGCTGAGGTGTCCCCACTGCCACCTGCCCCGCAGCTGCACCAGCCCCAGCACTTGAGTGCTGTCAGGGTCCATCCAGTCCTGCAGCCAGGGCATCCCACCAGGGCCAGCACATCTCAGCTCCCCCAGGCACCCAAGCAGAAGCAGTCCTACAGCCCCTGAATGTGTCAGCAGAGCCAAGGGGAAGGAAGGGACTTCTCTCCCAAAGCCTGCGTAGACCCTGCTGTCTCCCTGCCTCTCTACATCCCTCTTT